CCACGAACTACAACAAAGCATAATGCTTAGGTCGTCTTGCTTATACTGAGCCTTGACGTTTCCTTTGCTAAGGGTTTGTTGACCAAAATCTGCATGATAGCCCGACTCTTTAGACCTCTCCGCCTAGATCATAGGTGACACGCTTGACGTATGGTTCAGCGCTTTCCGGATGTAGCGGCTGCAAATTACTTGTAGTGACTCGACAGCCAATATGTTTCTTTCTTTTTCCAAAGCATGTTTAAGGTTCATTGCCTCTGGCGTAAGCAGCCTCCGCGGCCCGGAAGTTGTACATCAAATTCAGTGCAATTTTTCCTCAAGATCAGGTTATCGCGGAAGGTCTGGTGCCAGTCACATAGGTCTGGGGTCACCATGAAGATGAAAACTTCTAACGCGGGGTGCCATCGCGGAGATGAAAGTACATCTAGAAATATTCCGCAAATTCTCGAATGACTTGGCTGGTGGACAAGAGCTAAAATGTACAATTTATAACCTTCTAGGCGATCCAGAACCCGACACATATATTCCTTTTACAGTATCCATGTCGAAGATGACTTCTCTGCAGAAGGACCGCGAGTGAGTGTCTACTTTACAGGCGGCAACTGCTCATAGACTGCTTAAATGGCGTGCTGTTGCCATGTTTGGAGAGAATAGCCAAATCTATAGCCATCAAAACTTCTTTGAATTGCACACGAGTTTCCCGTCTCCGTTCGTAAGGATTTGGGCGCTTGAAATTACCGACCTCTCAGGGAAAAAACAGTACTTACCGTTGGGTTCTGTGCAAAATAATATGATGTTCTTGAGGTGTTCATCATGAGGTAAAACGACTTTGCATTTGCGTAGCTGGCGGACGAGCGACAACAATCAAACAATTCGTGCTGTTTCTTAGTACGTCAAAAATGGACGTTGGACTGAAGACAAATTCTAGAGTGCAAAAGGGCTATCGTGCACACAGTTAACGAATTCAAACTTTTTTTTTCAAGTCACAATAAAATTGCAAACCGAAATATTTAGCTTAAGAAATCAAGCTGATATAAATCGGTCTAAGCTTTTATTTTAATAACATATTGACGATATTTTATGCAACACAAAAATGTGCAGTTACAGTGACATGTTCTTGAAGCGAGGGGGTCGGTATTTTGATCGACGAGTAAAAGTTGCGTTTCTCCGTAGTGGCGCGTACAAGCGAGGATGTAAATTTCCGAGCTACTGAGCTAAATGCTAATACAGTCAACAGTAAAGGTTACATGACAGCTAAGTAGGTTCATGCATCCATTCTAATCTTTTGTTTGCTTGAAAGTTACATGTAACCTCTCTCTGTACAGGAAT